CGAGGTTTGTGCTGTGCACAAACTGGAAACATACCGCAAGCACGGTCGAAACATATCTTGCTTGGGTTGAGACGGCCGAAACATAGCAAATATCGGTCACCTCGACTTTAGTGAGCACCTTGACGTGGATTTTTCGAGAAGCTTAGAAAATGTTTACTTGTACAGACTTCTTTAAAAACACACACACACTTTCCGTCTACGGGTGTAAGCCTGAATTATGGAAAACTTACAACTTTCCGAAAGATTGAGAATTGATTTTTTGAATCCTTAGATAAACAAAATTGCTCGTATCAGGGCGAGGCCCTGAATGCTCAGACTGCCTTTTAAGGTCTATGGAGCAGGAATAACACGAACAATTGAATGTAAAAAAAATGATTTTTTTTTAAATTTGAGTTTTTTTTGCAAAAATTCATCCCTCCACACGCCATATAAAATACAAAAAACTAGATTTCGCTCCAAGTTACATATCAATTATGGCAGGTAAACTTCCTTCAACCTATTTGCAACAATTTCTGGAGCCCGTTACATTCCGTTACATTCCGTCCCAAACATTCCGTTACTTTCGTTGAGAAAGTCGGAACAAGAACTCAGATCAAATATGCGAGAAAACCACTGTTTGCTATTATTGCGAAAGCAATGTCTTTAATGACTAGCAATTTGTTTCATCTGGCTGTTTGCTCAGTCTCGACAGCAAAGGCTATAAAGAAAATAAAACTGTAACAAAACTGCTCGGAGAAGAGTGTAAAGGGTGAAGCTCTGAATGTTCCGATTGACTTTTAAGGTCTATGGAGCAGTAATAACATGAAACAAATTAAATGTAAAAAACTGATTTTTTTTTAAAACTGAGATTATTGTGAAAATCAACCCCCCACATGCCATATAAAGTACAAAGTGATAGAGTTTGCTCCCACTAACAAATCATTTTGGCTAATAAGCTTCCTTTAACCAATTTGGAACGATTTCTAAGACGGATTAAATCTCCTTTTACGCTTTATGAGCGCAAATTATCGCACGTTAATTGTCCCAAATTGGGCAAAATGGCAATCTTTAAACCCCCATAAATTTGCGGAAAACAATCACAGGTGAATTATTTTTTCAAATTTAAACTCAGGACAATATTACTGTTCATATGATATTGAAAAAATCCGCCAAAATTGGCTAGTTAAAAAGTCGAAATTTGTCTTAAGAAAAAAACCCACCCCGAGAACAAACATTCCGTTACTTTCGTTACAAAAGTTAGAACGACAAAATATGATCAAAAGTGTCTTTTCACTCCAGATTTAATTTTTTCGAAAAATGATGACAGAAGAAACAAATGTTTTTTGATGAGAAAAACTTACAAAGTAAAGTCGAATTCCTCAAAGAATAATTGAGCTTAGAGTTAATGAAAATCACTCAGAGGTTAATAAATTGCAATTAAAAGATAAAAATTTTTACTAAGAATATCAGATGAATCGTTTCAGAAGTAAAAAAGAGCCATTTTACCCGAGGTTGCAGAATTTTTTAAAGTTTTTTTACGCATGGTTCAATTATCAGCGCCATTACTAAAGCTGAAATTTTTAAATTTATACTCAGTAGCAATTTAATTGTATCTTCTATTCTTTTGAGTTTTTGTTGCTCAAAATCAATTATTGTTTTTCCTTCCATGTATACATGTATAAACTCGAAACTCTATAAGTTAACAAAAATCAGAGTTTTTATTTGTTTCTATCAATAGTTGCTGTGAGTTTCGATCAAAAGTTGAAGTGAGCGTTTATAATTTTGTGATCGCATGGTTCGTATGTGTTTCAACGACAATTTTTCGATGTCAAAAAATAAGTTCTAATTACAGTTTTTGGTCAAAGAGCGTGTTAGATTTTAACTTTTCCAGCTTGAAAAGGCCTGTATCATCAGATACAATAATTCCATTTATTGTTCCGACTTTTGTAACGAAAGTAACGGCATATTTGCGCTCGGGTGGTTTTTTTTCTTCAGACAAATTTCAACTTTGTAACTAGCCTTTTTTGACAGAATTGTTTCATATCATTCGAAAGCTATTGTTATCTTCAGCTTAAGTTTGAAAAATTATTTCACCTGTGATCATTTTTTGTAAAGTTATGGTGGTTTAAAGATTGCCATTATGGCCAATTTAGGACAATTAACGCCGGATATATTTCGCGCTATTAACGCGTAAGCGGAGATTTAATCGGTCTTAAAAATCGTTCCAAGTTAGTTCGAGGATGCTTATATTCCATAATTGAATTGTTAATAAGAGCAAAATTTATCAATTTGTACTTAATATGGCGTGTGGGGGATGTTTTTACAAAAAAAGCTCATTTTTTTCAAATTTGTTTTATTCTATTACATTGAAATTTTTAATTTTATTACTGCTCCATAGACTATAAAAGGCAGTCGGAACATTCAGGGCTGATACGAGCAGTCTTGTTTCTACTTTTAGATCAAACTATCGGCATCTCAACCCAGAGGGTTAATTTTATTTTTATTGTGGGACGGTTTATCTGAGACATCTTGTATATTGGCTAATGTTGTCCTCGGCTGTTTCTTTTAGAAGAAAAGCTCAATTTGAAAAACCCAGGTTGAAAAAAAGTTAATGATTTTACAATTTCATACAATGAAAAAACTCATACAATTTCAAATATAGAATTTTTAAAAGAAAAGTTACTAAATCAGCACTTTTTTACACTATGAGCACTTTTAAGCTTTTTTTTCCAGCTTTTTGTCATAATGTTTATCACAAAAATTTTACGGAATTAGTTTGAGCATTTTTCAATACTATGGACTTGTATGATATTTCATACGTTTTTCATATTAACAGCATCGGTTGATTCTTCACTCTAATATAGAAAAGTTATTCAACGGTGATCAGCAACTTTTGATTTTCATTTTGTTCTAATTGCTAAGGATTACTCCAAGCTGGAAAGAAATGAACTGACTTTTGATTAAATATAGAGCCCATTGCTCTAAGCTATAGCAAGTTGTAAGTTAATGTTTCCTTAATCAAAAACAAAGCGTCAGGAACCTAACATCAAAACTTACGCCCGGCCTGCAGATACGCGTGAATTCTCCTCAGTGTAACAGTTGGACATTATAGAATGGAAAAATCAATCACCATTACTTTAAAAAGGCGACATGAAATATAAAAAAGTTGCACAAACTTAATCAATAACAACATATGTTCACTGCAATGAATCGAATCGCCTCAAAAACCACTCTTTTTCTTGTCAGTCAAAAACAGTTGTTGTTCAGTAGATCTCATCAATTATTTGAGGTTAAAAGATCATTATGCAACCAATTTTAAGCCAAATAGTACTTAATTGTCCTACATTTTACATATTTTTCATCTTTTTGGGCTCTTTTCATCCAGGGAACTGCACCCTTGGACTTCGAATTGAAGGTTGGACCACATTACGACGCCAAACTGCGTTGTAAATTTTGTAAATTGTAAGCGGATTCCGCAACAGGCTGAAAACAGATTTGTCGCGGAATATGCAACTCGGGCAATATTGCTCGCTACGGAATTGTTAACATAAATAATGTTCCGACAAAATTTACGTTACATGGTATTTGTGCGTGGAAACTACTGAATCCACTCACATTTTGGAACATGTTTTCCCCTGTTTTCCCCGGATTCCACTGGCCCTACCGACTCCAAATTGTGCGCCTATCCAGTGCACATCTTGGCCTTGTAATGCATTATGAGAAATACCACCCCCAAAAACCCTAGTTGACGAAAGATCTTTATCTTCTAAAATCTTGCAAGATACTGTTCCTGCAAGAGTCTTGAAAAAAATTTACTTGCAAGATATTTGAAAGTTATACAAAAATCTCTCAAGATCTCGCAAAATGACCATTTTTGATGGAGTAGCAGGGAACTATTTTTAAGTTTTTGCAGTTTTTGTTTAATTGATGAAACTTTCGAACGATGTTTAAACGAGGACAAAACACAACTGAGTTCAGTCATTTCAAAACATCTGACAAATACGCAAGCAAACTTTTTGTTCAAAATACCAAACTTCTCAGAAAAAAACTATTTTCCGAAAATTGTCATTTGCAACAAGGAGATAATCTGGTTCTTAAGGTCACAAAGATTTATTCTTAAGGTCACAGCGAAACCAAAGATGGCAGAAATCATGTCACGGTTGAAGAAGACGAAGAGCACTTGTTTACAGTCTCGTCAAATGGAAGTCATTTAGTAGATAGCGTAGTTTGCAGAAAAGAGAAAAAAGGAGTCATCAATTTGGAAAGACAATCACAGACATTAGCAGAGACAGAATACAAAATAATTGGAATTCAATTAGGTACGTTATGAACTTTATTTAGTCCAACAAGTCATAAGAAAGTGGTCTCAGGAAATAAAAATGTAGTTATTAGTTTTGATTTGCTATTATGACGACTTGTTACCACGAGTGGGAAGGAGTTATGGCGTAAGTCTTTGTTGGCGTTCCGATTTTGGTAGTCTCAAGTGGTGTCATAATAAAGCGAAGCCCAATTGGCCGCAATTCGGATACCAAAAAAAGTTGTTAAAAAATTTCCCCAAGAGTTGAAAAAAATTTGTTTCTTGCTTTTCAGCAGATACATTTCTTTCACAAGATACACAAAAAAAATTTCAAAAAAATTTATCGAATTTTGCTCGGTCAAAAAAAAATAATTGTTTTTGAGCATCTCTTGAAATGTTTTGCCGCAAAGTTTTTTTTTGTTCAGCGCTAGCCATCCCCCATCCCAGCACCGGGTAAATGTAAGGGGTTGTTGGACCAAAAAAAATGTCATAAAATAGTGCCAATTGGGGGGAGGGGTTGGAGGGGGCCTTTAGGTGGCCAGGTGGTATAACCCTTGAGGGCTCCTTTTCCTCCCCCACCTGACATGCAAAATTTTGAAAGTAAGTCATTTGTTCTAATTGTCCGATTGCTATAAAAAATGACATGCGGACTAATTAGGCCCTGACAAACATACTTACTCTTCATAGTTAACCTTGTAAAGTCCCCTGTTACAACTTGAAATTAATGGGTAGTCGAGGTGGGTGGGGGAAGGAAAAAGAGTCTCCCCGAGAAGCTATCCGTGAACTCCTTCCTGGTTCTCATTTTGTTTACTTTCAAGGAATAGACGTGGTTACGTGTACTTACGAAGAAGCAGAAAGCGACAGTCCAACTGGTGAAACAAACACAAACACAAACACAAACACAAACACAAACACACAGTTAGAAGTGTGGGTGACTCGAAGGGAAACAACCATCGACAAGTTCTTCGTCCCCTTCGTCTTCTGCATGGTGGCTACTTTCAACTTGGCCTTCGGCACAGAAATAGCTCTGAATGATCTGAAGTTCATTCTCATGCATCCTCTGCCTCTGGCCACCGCTGCCATTTGTCAATTCATCATACTACCCCCGGTTGGTTACTCATAAATGGTGACTCTTTAACTAGTTAGCCTTATAAGGTCCGCTCTTATCAAGGACTAATTCAACGATGAAGCTTAAACTAAATTCATTACTACTAACTGATAAGCCCTTTTTATAATAGGGGGTGAGATAGCTAGCCCAAATTAGCTTATAAATAATCGTTAAGCTCTTTTTCCTCCCCCTCCACCCACCTCGCATGAGCTTCAATTTTTTGCAGTAACAGTAGGCTTACAATGGTGAGTATGAGACCAAATATATTTGTCATGACCTAATTGGTTTGCATTTCAATTTTCATATGACAATTGGACAATGTGAACAAACTTTTTAATTGTAGAAATACGCTGGTGGGGAAAAACAACAAGCAATCATTAAATTAGTTATTTAGAGAGATGGCTATTTTCAGGAAAATCATAGGGGGACCAATAATTAAGGAGATCCGAAAAGTGGAGCTTATTTGATCAGCAGCCGCTGACCCAGATTAAGCCATCTTGTGAATATTACAAAATCTTTCAAGATTCTAAGATTTACCAGATATTACTAAAGAATTTACAAAATATATGAAATAAAAATTCTAATTCTCACCAATTTCTGTAAAGTGCATCAAAAGCTCTTTCAGCTAATTTTCAGCATTACCACACTTAGGTTGTGAAACATTCATAGCGGCAGTTTGAGAAAAGCGGCAGTTGCAAAAACGGGAGAAATTTAATGGCACTGCGATTATTTAGAGAATGATAGCCAATACTTTTTGAAATTCTGATGATCAATCATCAACAATAGATATTTTCTTCAGCTGGGTCTGGGCGTGACGAAACTGATGGGCTATGAGCCAGACGTGGCGCTGGGCATGTTGATGGTGTCCTGTGCCCCGGGGGGAGGGGACAGCAACGCCTTCAGCTACTTGGTGGACGGAGAAGTTCCCCTCTCTATCGCCATGACTTTCTTCAGCACCCTACTTGCCATTGGTCATTTTAAAAAAAAAAATTTTCTGAATTCTTTGACTTAACTTCTTCTTTTTTTCTTCTTCTTCAGATGAGCACTCCATTTATACCAATTGTGGGAAATTAGATTAAATCAAAAATTCAGATCAGAATACCACCATTTGTTTTGGTGGTAGGCCAACAAGCCGACGGGCCAACAAACCGAAAATAGGATTACCATTCCTGCAAGCCGAAAACCAATAGTGTTATGCAAGATAACAACAGATTATCATTGTTGTTACAATTGTTACGTAACTCTGATTCAATTTCGGCTTCCAGATATGGCGGTTTGTTGATTATCCGCCTTAATTTCATATATGGTGGCGAGTCACCCTTTCGTAATTTTTTTTTACAAATTCATTTGCTCATTTATGAAAAAAAACAATATACGCAAGCCTCACGCCTGAATGAATTTTAAATGACACATTGCCAATTCATTGCAGTTTCTATGCGGTAGATGCCTTTGCGCGACAAAAAAAGTCTGATTTCAAGTTCATACCAATCTGTTATAGAGGTATCTGCTCAAAATTGTTTGAATAAAATTACAATGAACTCAGTCAAAATGACCAAAAGTTTCAAATCAATGAATCACAGACAGAAATATGTCTCTGTTTTTCCACTAGATCAAGTTAGGAAGATATCTATCTTTATTTTCCGCTATTTTTTTTTCTAGTTTGAACTGTGTTGCAGATTTGGTTTTCGTCTGATAGTTATAAAAATGACTCTCTAATTGAATGCAAGCTTCTAGATTATCTGCGAATCAGAAGTCAATCAAAAACTTGGAAAATATTTGACAAATCCGAAATCTATCAGTTTTTGTTTAAAATCAAAACGAAGTGAGAATCTTTCTCTCTCTCTCTAAAACTTTTTAGTATTTTCAAAGGATGCCGTCTTTAATTTAGCTATTTAATAATATTCAATTTGCCTTTTAAATGTCTTAAAGAATAACTAAGCTAAGTGAATTTGTTAATCGAGTCTTTTTTCGCAATTCTTCAACTTTCCCCTCTATGGTATTTAGTAAAAAAAAATAGCGAGCTCTATATGAAGGAACTAAATCATACTGAATTTTCACCTCTGTAGCCCCTCCCAACCCTCTCCCCAATGGTTCCTAAGGAAGAAAACCCCGCCCTATAAAAAGGTTAATTATCAGTTAATCATTTAGTTTTGTGCCTCTTTGATAATCCCCTCATTTGTAATAGGGGGCCGCATTGGCAAAACTAAGATTGTAATTGATTATACTCGATTTTTATACAAATTTTCTAGAAGTACAGATTCGATTGTATGCAACCCAATTAGACGCCAAATTGGATAATAAAGGGGTTTTATACAGTTCTATTTCTGTCTCGTTTCGGTACTGAGGTAGATCGGTTTCGGGTAGCTGACCGATTAACAACATTTCAATTCATACGTAAATTAACCGTAATTATCGGAAATTACAAGTCAACAAAGAATAACGAACTGCCATAAGTTTCGGTATTTAAAAGCAGAATTCAATGTCATAAAATACGCAGAATGAAAACATTAAAAAGTCAACTTTAAAATGGCGCCTGAACAATTTGTGAATTTTGTTTCGATCTTTAAGTTTTCGACTTTTTTCACGCACTTCTTCGTTCACCAGAAAGCTCATCAGTTGTGACCTTGGTTTTTTCTCGCTATGAATTCTAGCGAGAACAAGTTCAAAAAATCAATTTTATAGTTAAAACAAGACTGCTCGTATCAGGGCGAAGCCTAGAAAGTTCCGACTGCCTTTTAACGTTTATGGAGCAGTAATAACACAAACAACATTAAAAAATTAAATGAAACAAAATAAAATGAAAGTTTTTTTTCTAAAATTTGAAATTTTTTCTATGAAAATCATCCACCCACACGCCATATAAAGTACAAAACAATAGATTTCGCTCCTTGTAACAAATCAATTATGGCAAATAAGCTTCTTTCAACCAATTTGGAACGATTTCTACGACAGATTAACTCTCCGCGTACGCGTTAATAGCGCGAAATATATCGCGCGTTAATTGACCAAAGTTGGCCAAAATGGCAATCTTTAAACCCTCATAACTTTACGAAAAATGATCACAGGTGAAATATCTTTTCAAATTTAAGCTCAGGACAACAATAACTTTTGAATGATATAAAAAAATTCCGTCAGAAATGGCTAGTTAAAAAGTCGAAACTTGTCTGAAGAAAAAAAACCCACCCGAGCACAAATATTCCGTTACTTTCGTATCGAAAGTCGGAACAAAAATGGATTTTATTGCGGTAAGAAATCTGTATAGAATCTGTAAAAAATCGATTGTAATGTATTTTCTACGAACTCAAAAAAATCAATTATATTGTCTAAAAAATGAAATTATATTGTCTAAAAAATGAAATTATATTGTCTAAAAAATTAATTGTTCTTTACTTAGAAGCGTGCTGTTTGAAAACTCAAAATCAGCGACACAAATCATGATAATCATCAACCATATCAAAAAGACTTTGGTGACAAAAGTATACAATAAAATCATGAAAAAGATCAAAATAAACAAATTTTTGAGCTCAAAAGTATGCAATAATCTCATGAAAATCATCAATACCCAGGCCAAACAATCTTTGCAATCTTTGTCATCTTTGCAAATCTTGAAGAATCTTTGAAAAATTGTGAAAAAAAATCTTTAAAAACTTGATCGAAGAAAATACTTTGATCGTGTCAAAAATAAGTCTGAAATAATAAGCACATATAGCACGGTCTTGTTCAGCTACCGTTGTGAATCATGTCAAAAAACTACGAAAAAAAAAATTTAAGTCATCAGATTTCAATTCTACTGAACTGTGAGGATTGCTAAACGCAGTTTTTCAAAAAAATCTTGTCTGCGGCAGAACAAATGATTGACAATTGAGGCTGAAGGAGACCAATATAATGTTAACTGCAAATCAAAATCAAGAACTCGCCTCAGGGAATCTATTTTGGCCCGAGAAAGTATGAAACACTAAAAAATTGAAAATTTTCGGGGTTTTCTTTTTTTTTGGAAAAAAATACCCTTTTTCCAGTTTTTTTTTCAATTTCACTCTTCGCCCCACAACGGGCACAAACAATGCCCAGCAATACAGTGCTGATTTAAATTAACCGGACAAAACGAGCTAAACTTGAAAATTAAAACGCATTTTTCTCAAATTGGGTTGAGTTTAGGTGAAAATTCATGATGACAAAACTTGCTTAAATTTTAGCAGAATTAATATGGTGTAATTTGTTTTGCAAAATTCGGGCCCAAATTTTTACCCCAAAAATGGGCCATTTCGGCGTTTCTTAGTTAATCAGAAATTACGCCAAAAATACCCAGTCGATCACGGACATAATTATATCAAAGTGAGCCTCTTACGTAGTCCAACAAACTTTAACAAGGGTATATTCTCCAGAAAAAAAAGCAAATCGTCTAAAAATTGTTTTTAAATAAAAAGTTGGTATTTTTTATAGTAAAAGCGACCTTTTTGTCAATCAAACAAAACTAAATTAACTTATACAATGTTTTGGAGAAAATTCCCTTTTTAAAGTTTGTTGGGCAAGGTAAGAGGCTCACTTTGATATAATTATGTCTGTGATCGACTGGGTATTTTTGGCCTAATTTCTGATTAACTAAGAAACGCCGAAATGACCCATTTTGGGGTAAAATTTTGGGCCCGAAGTTCGCAAAATTAATTACACCATATTAATTCTGCTAAAATTTTAAGCAAGTTTTGTCTTCCTGATTTTTCACGTAAACACAACCCAATTTGAGAAAAACGCGTTTTAAACTTCAAGTTTAATGCGTTTTGTCCGGTTAATTTAAATCAGTACTGTACAAATACTTCGAGCAGAAGAAAAATTGTCAAATTTGCCTTATTTTGACAATTTCATGTTGTTTTGATCGTTTTTGGTTATTTTCAACAAAGCAAGACAAGTAACAAAAATTTTTTCTACGTAATTTTGAATTTTTTCGTATAAAAATTCAACCAAAAAAATAGATTTTATAGTGCATATAATCTCTATAAAATGTGTATATAATCCCTATGAAATCTGTATAAAATCTGCATATAAACTCTACCAAAATATGTACGTAAAATTGTTTTTCGGTGACTATCGAATCGATAAAAATAAGTATATATTGCCATTGATTGTAATTGATTTAATTGTAAAAAAAACCATTTTTAGTGCATAAAAAACAAAATAGCTGAACTGTAAATTAAACTTGCGATAGTCGATTGCAATCTTAATGTTGCAAATTCGGGGGTAGGGGCGTAGTTAAAGAGATCCATAAAGAGATACATTTGTTCTTCATACAGGTACCATGCCTCTAAATCTGTTTGTCTACGGCAGACTCATCTCAGACAATCCATCCTGGAAGCCACAAGACATTCCCTACCTCAGACTGGCACTCACTCTCCTCATTCTGGCTGTTCCGGTCTGCATCGGAATGGTCCTCCGGAGCTATCTGCCTCGACAGACTAAGCGGGCTATGAAGATGGCGAAGCCTGTGATAATTGGACTCTTGTTCATTTTCTTCTGCCTAGGTAAGTTCTAACATCATACTTAGTTGCTCACATTAATCTTCTAAAAGGTTGGGATTAGAAACTTGCATTTTTAATTTCCCTCATAATAACATTTTCAAGATTTTATACAAGATTTTAAAGTTTTTTCAAACACAATAAATTGTTTCAAACATAGTTTTTTAATAAATAAGATTTCAGAGAAGCAAACAAACTACTCTGTTCAAGTCACACAGACAGCAAAATTTTTTTGTTGAGCATTATCAAAAGATCCCCAAAATTTGAGCAATTAAGTGCAAAGAAAAGTTTTGTTCGGTTTTCGAATTACATGTAATCGTGTTTTGAAAATTTGTTGACACTTTTTGCAACGATGATTTTTAAAACTGGTAATTGCGATATAAGGAGGGAACGCGCCCACATGGTGCCTTCAAGCGGGCTGTAAGACCTTCAGCGTCTTTTTATTTTCGATGCAGGGTAATTGATGAACTGTAAATTGCATTGGCATAACATACGGTTTGTGGATTATCATTTTAACAAACTGTATATTATTAGAAGCATTAGAAATCATTACTCAGAGCTTTACCAAACTTATTTCTGGACTTGATTTCTTCCAACAAAGTTTTCCGAATTATTATTTTTTGCTGAACCATCTTTTTTAGCTATCATTCGCAACCTGTTTGCGTTTGAATTAGTCTCTGTTCGGGATGTGGCCGGGTCCTGTCTGCTGCCTCTAGGGGGAATCACCATAGGCTCCCTGTTCGCCCTCAGTGCCCGACTCAGATTCTCACAAGTGAAGACAATCGCTCTAGAAGTCGGTATGTGGTGATTGGTGGTCGCCTTAAGCAGTGCTGATTTAAATTATTTGGACAACAGGCACAAGAATTAAAACTTCAAATGCATTTTTCTCAATTTGGTTAGATAATTCGTGAAAAATTATGAAAACTAAACTTGAAAATTTTACAGGAATTTAAATAGTGTAAGTTGTTGTGCAAAATTTGTGCTCAAAAGTTACGCTGAAGCTACTGGAAGAATTACTGCCCAAACTATATTAAAGGGGCATCTTACGAAACTAAGCAAAAAGTAAAAAAGGTACAACCTTCAAAAAAATGCGCAAAACGTTTAAAAAATCTGCAGAAAAATAATTGTTTATATAAAAAAACGGACATTTTTTTCTATCAAACAAAAAAATGCAATTTATACAATCCTTCCTTAATACCATCCTTACTTTTCGTTGCGCAACAAAAGATGCTCACTTACAAGATAGTTTTGTCTGTAATTAACTCGGTAGTTATGGTGTAATTATTGATTGACTAACAATTTTTGGTGCCCGAGTTTTGGCCGGCAACTTTCACTACACTAATTCAAAACAGTATAGGTCGTCCTCTTTTTTCACCAAATGTCAACCGAATATGAGAAAAACTCGTTTTGAACTTCAAGTTTTATGCAATTTGTCCGGATAATTTAAACCAAAACTAGTTTAATAGTTTTTAAGAAATTTATTTGACGACGTCTTAATTTTATGAAACAAGACTGCTCGAAGCCCTGAAAGTTCCGACTATGTTTTAAAGTCTATGGAGCAGTAATAACAGTAAAAAAATAAATGTAATAAAAATTAAAGAAAAAAAATTGAGATTTTTTTGAAAATCAATCCCCACACGCCATAAAAAAAACAAAGTGATCAATTTCGCTCGAAATAAAAATTAATTATGGCAAATAAGCTTCCTTGAACCAATTAACAACAATTTCTAAGATGGAATAAATCTCCGCTTTCGCGTTAAAAGCGCGAAATTTATCGCTCGTTAATTGTCCCTAATTGACCATAATGGCAATATTCAAACCCCGATAACTTTACAAAAAACGATCACAGGTGAAAACTTTTTTTCTTATTTAAGCTCAAGACAACGCTACGTTTTCGATGATATAAAAAACTCCGTCAAAAAGGCTAGTTTAAAAGTCGAAGTTAGTCTGAAAAAAAACCCACCCCGAGCACAAATATTTTCTTGCTTTCGTTACGAAAGTTGGAATAATAATTCTGAATGTGGAACCGTGACAAAAGCGTTGAAAAAACAATTGAAAACTATAATTGGGCTTTTTGATGACGTTTTATATTTGCCTAATTTCGAGACAATCGAAAAAAAAACAACACATGCAATTTGAATTCCAAACTGAAGCACATTGAACATTTTAACCAATTCGCGCACAACACATTTTTTTCGTACATATTATTGCAATATGAAGCGTTTAGCCATAACGGTATGTAAAGTTTTTGCAACTAATGAAGCATGTTGGCAAAGAAATGAAGAAAATGTCTCTATCAGTTGTCGTTCCGACTTTCGCAACGAAAGTAACGGAATGTTTGTGCTCGGGGTGGGTTTTTTCTTCAGACAATTTTTGACTTTCTAACTAGCCATTTTTGATAAAAGTTTAAAATATTAAAAAAGTATTGTTGTCTTGAGCTCAAATTTGAAAAGTTGTTTGACCTGTGATCAGTTTTCGTACAGTTATTATTCTTATGAGGGTTTAAAGATTGCTATTTTGGCCAATTTGGGACAATTAACGCGCAATATTTTTCGCGCTATTAACTTATCATTTTTCGAGTTATATTCAAGTTATCATTCAACTTTTTCATGTTATTACTGCTCCATAGACCTTAAAAGGCAGTCGGAACATTCAGGGCTTCGCCCTGATACAAGCAGTCTTGTTCGGAATAGCATTTGGTTACCAACTAAGCAGGTTTGTTTCAGGAATGCAAAATGCAGGCATAGTTGTTGGTATGGCCTTGCTCGCTTTCGACCAACCCCAAGCGGACCTCAACGGGATTCTACCCATTTTCATGGCCCTTACCCAAATGTTTGTAGTTCTACCATTCCTAGTCACACACCTCGTGTTTCGCAAATTTAACTGGTACTACCGGGAGAATTGTGAAGAAAACAAAAGTGCCATGAGAGCCGAACGGAGGATATTTGATGCAGCAGTCAATAAAAGAGACTCGAATGAATTGAAAGATGCTGATTGCCCTGATAGTGGCCAGCAAAACCCAGCTTATAATGCTGACTTTACAATAGCCACTAAATGAATATTTAGAGCCACTTTTCGCTTCTGGCGCACTCTTGGAATTTAAAAAGTGATATAACACGTACAGCTATCGGTACAATTGTTTTATGGTGATCCCTGAAAAAAACCTGAGAGAGGATTTGGTATTTCTTGAGACTATTTGTAAGCAAAAAAAATCAAATTAGTAAAAAATAAACACAAGCTTCGCATCCATGCTCAAGATTTTCTCAAAAAAAATAGCGAAACCTGCAGCTTGCGCGAGAATTTATTTGATTCTGTATTGACACCGAAACTTTAAGGTTGCGGCAATATGCTTTAGATTATGAGCACTTTTAGTGTTTTGGGACGTACCCCTGTATGACAATTGTACCCAGCTTTTTGATGTTTTAATTAATTAAAATTGTGATCATTTGTATATTTGAAGTTATAACGGCAGAAAAATGCCAAAACGATATGTTTACTGTTTTGGATTTTACCAAAGTTTGGAACCAAAATGGTCGGAAAAAAGCAAATTTATTTCGTAATCAGTAAATTCATATATCAGTTTGCTAGAGTAACTTATAGCCGGAGAAGAAAGCAAAAAACCTAGGTCACACACTCAATTTAAAGTAACCGACTGCTGTAATACAGAACGACGGCAGTTGTGGTGATAAAATAATTAATTGCATTAGGCATTAGTTAGCTATTTGGTTTGAAGTAGCCTTCAGCTACAACGAGATACGCAAGTTATGCTTAAAAAAGACGCCCCTCCCCCTGAAGTTGGACATCTTCGCCACCCACAGAGTTCCCCTTTGATAATTTTTGCCACCCCTTCGGCTACCAGTTGGCTCGCGTTAGATAATTTTGTCATATGAAGATAATTTAGCTTTTTTGTATAATTCCGACTAAGTGCTCGCTAGTTCAGATTGATATTTGAATATCATCGATCATCACACTATTTTCTAAATTTCAAAAATGCAGCACTGAAAAAATTAGTTGTTTCTTCATCTAAAGTTCCGTTACCATGAAATTGGATGGAACGATAGAATAATTGTTGATTTTTTTTCCACAACGCAAACAAAGAAAAATTCGGGGCAAAAAGGCTGGAGTTTCTGCTTCATCGCCATCCCGCCAATATCGCAAAGATTTGAAATTTTTGTTTTAGACTTTTGTCTATTGCTAAAGATCAAGGCAAGACAAGATATTTGCAATGAAAATTTTACTGAGATAGTTTTAGCGATAATTCACCTAAAAACTAGTTGGTATTCAAAATTCTTATCAATCGGAAAAATTTACATGGTATGTCTTTAGGGATACAAAATTTTTTTGTTCAAATGTTCGAACTTTTGATAATTTTTAAGCAAAACTACGTTCGATATATAGCATCGCATTCATGGCTAGGGTTGATAATATAATGAAAATCTATCATGGTTGACACTTTGTGATAATTGGTTGATTTCAACTGATAATAACGAGACAGCAAAAACTACAGAATCCTTCTGAATCATTTTAAATGCTTAACAGTTCAGGTAAAAACAGATATTTACTCTTTTTAAATTTTAAAAAATTTAACTTCGACGATAGCTCAGATTATCAGATCTTCCCTCATTTTCCAAGAAGATCTGTCGCTACAGGATCACCGTAGTGCTTGGTCAGTTTCCGGAATATTGAAGATATTTCGGGTACCTCTGAGACTGTTTCAGATTGACTGTACGGAGTTGGTGAAGGTTGTTTATCGATTTCATGTAGCACTGAAGCTTTTCATCAACAGTTTCACTTGTTCCATCTGATTATTTGTCCCAGAACAAGTATTTCTATGCGCCATAAGTATCCGTTGGAGAAACCCGAAAATGAATGATAAGTTTTTCCCTCGTACCTATGCCTTCATGGTATATTTAATTGTCTGAACTGCACTTTCTGCTAGTCCATCTGCTATTGGCTGGTAGTGCAGTGATTCCATTCTTCGAAATTTCTGAAAATTGCAAAGTTCTTCCCAGTCAATGCCCACAAATTCGGGCCCGTTATCAGAAACTAGATTTTTTGGTACTCCAAACTTTGTAAGGTCTGTTCACAGGCACTTCCCTTCCAGTTAGAATACTTCTGTCATTGCTTCAATTTGCGCACTTCCTGCGTTAACAATAACCAAACAGTTTTCGTTGCCGTTTGATTTGAGCACAGTGCATATGGTTTCGTTCCCATGCGCCTGCTTCTGGCCACTCTAAAAGTGTTTCCCCAAGCAAAGGTCTGATTTTTTGAAGGATCTCGCTTGTTCAGACAAGTCGTTCCACGTCTCGTCTCGTGATATGCCAGGCCACCAAGCAACTACTCACAAAGCTGCTTCTGTCGCTTGTCTCTGTGGGCATCGTCCACAACAAGTCTTCTGAGTTTCGGTGGTTTGAAAGGTACAACGCCGATATAGATTACTTTTTATCGCGTTGTCATTGTTTCAGGTTCTTTCTTGAAGTGTGATTCAATTTCTGAGCATTGTTTCCAATCACAGCTTTAAATGTCATTGAAAACGTTTTGAAATGTTCGATTTGTATGAAGATCGCTTTTAGTGTAACCTACTCTCTTGTTACGTACTTCAACTAGAAGTTGAATCCAATCAATGCACTAGCCCAGTTGGCTTCTTTTTACTGACGCTTAATTTGGCATCTCTCCGTTTTTCGCAAAGCGGCAATGCAAGGGTTTTTGATCGATTGGTAGAACGTAGATCATTTTGCCCCCATGTGAGGACTGTTTCAGTCGTGTCACCACAAATTTTTCCTTTCTACGTTGGCTTAATTTGCTCATTTGCTGATAACATCCTCCAAACGTAGGTCACTGGATGTTCTTATCATGATAAGACCCCGCTCAGTGCCTGCTCCGGAGCATCGGTGGTCACTGTCAGATTTTTGTCCAGAAAGTCGGGTTGCACGACTGATTTTAAGCAGAACTAGTTTGATATTCACGTTTGATAGAACTTATTTGTTAGTTTGATAGTCTGAAAGCACTTGTTATGTTGGTATCTCGATTTAAGCCCATCAATCACTCTAGTCAATGAGTGGGAGCTTTTGGTGGCACAGTCCGTAGAAGTTTGCCAGTCCAGAAAATGTGTAAGGTTTTTTGTGATTGGAGAGCAAATTCTGCACCGGAACCTCTCAACAAGCCTATTATGGCACAACTGACAGTGGTTAGTTTTTATTAGACCATTCCTTGATGTTCCTCTGAAGTAAAGTTAGTGTCTATCGTATGCTTCTAGAGTCCGAGCAGTTCCATCTAGAAAAGGTCTTCTAAGCTCCTCCCAGATGCTTGACGGTATCACTCTAGTATCTGCATCTGTGTACACGTGCACTTTCACCTCACTGCCATCAATGTTGAAACTTTCCCACGGCCGCCATGCCTTTGAGATTTGCCGCATTCCAACTTTATTGCCATGCCGCATTCCGACTTTCTTTATTGCCATTCTCGGAGCTTTCTAATTTGCTGAGAACTGACCCCCATAAGCTTGATGGTTTGCGCTATTATTAAATCTACTATTACTTGTACTGTTGTTGCTTAAATTTTTTCGAGACCTTTTTGCACAAGTGTTTTTATCTTATCCATTGAGTTACATTTTCTACCCGTTGAATGACAAAGTTTCTCTCCGTTCGTTTTCCCCCAAAGTTGGATAAAGGGTTTTGATTTATTAGCAGCGCAAGCTCTTATATAATAGCTTGGTTTTATGAAGGTTGACTTAGAACTGCACGCCATTTTTCCTAAAAACTAATTTTAAAGGTCCCAGCAAAAAGCTGTGCTTGATCGCTCAGCTGTAAAACAGTTTGCCTATCAAAAATACTATACTTGCCTACTTAAATCTGTGAAATCACTACAGGCCTCATTTAACTTGAACTTAGAGTCTGTTGATCTTATTACTGAGATAAATTTTGTTCGTATCCGCTCTACTTCCGCATCAGTGGTGTTTTTGATTTCTGAAAATTTAAAAGCAGCTTCACGAAGTCTTCTTAGAAACCCGTCGCCAAACTCTCCTTGATTCTGAACTGTCAATAGGAATTTGGCTCGATCAGTAATGGCAACAAGTTCTCGGTAAGTGTTGCAGTTTCATACAGCGAGTTAGGTCTCATTGAAAATCATCTCGTTAGTTTGGCAATACAAGACTCCTCAACTTCATGATTGCTTGCACTCAACAATTGCTGAGGAACAGATTCGTACTTTGTAGGACTGAGTAATTCGTTCCCTCTGCAGCCTTGTAATTTTTCTTCTCTGAGCAGCATACTATCCGAATGAAAGCAGACATTCAAGCCATTGCCTCTTCAGGTTTTGGAAAAATCTAAAGCGTTATTAGGTTTCTACTTTTCAAGTTTCGCGTCTGGACACCACTCTTGTGGATCAGTGCAAAGTATAAATTTTGCACGAAGTTTTTTTGAGACGATAAATAGTTATAAGTGTTATTTTGGTTGTTATGGGTTGAAAAAAACTACACATAAAAACAAGACTTGTCATTCGAGAAAAAATATATTTTTTGTTAACATGTTCATTTTTTGGTTATTTTTTACCAAAAAAAACATTCGATTCATAAAACACGGCATTCATGGATAAAAATGATTAATTTCTGGAGGATCTAACAAGGCTGACACATTGTGATAGTTGTTTCAACTCAAATGATAAAAAAGAGTCCGCAATAACTCTAGACTCACTTCTGAACAGCTCCGACGTATCTGGTACTTTTATATACTTTTTCTCTTGAAAATTTCATCTGAAGAGTTTTAAATTCGATGATTTTTTGAAGTGGAAAACAACTTAAGGTAAACGCGCCATGCTGTCAGAAGAGAATCAGCTTTTTGGCGAAAAATTTAAACAAGTGTGCTTTTATGTCTATCAAGCAAGGTTTTTTAATAGATGGTTGGTTGATTTGTAAAAAGACACACTAAAATTGACAATTTTTGCACTAAATTCAATCTATCAGTTGAATAAACAAGTGAATGAACCGATCAAAATCCTTCATATCGAATTATTTTTTTGTTAATATCAAAAAATGTTTTGTATAAATGGTTAAAATTAAATCTAACTTGATATAAATTAAATTTAAGTTATAACTCTTTGACGGAAATTGCAAAGTTTGCTTAGAGTCCGTACATAATTTGTTGTTTGTGGGAAGCTATTGTGGGA